ACTTATTATTAAATAAAAGAATTGGTTTTGAGGACGTAATGAACAGACATCGATGAATGCTAGTGTTCTGATGAGGAAACAATTTATGCACCTAAATTTGGTAACATACTGAAGCATGTGGGCAGTTTCTAAAATATCAGCATCAGGAACAGTGGTTTGAAGTTGGCTGTATGACCTCTGGTTAGAGGTTATAAGGACAAGCCTGAGACTGACAAAACAGCATTAATCCTGCGAAAACGTTCAACTACTCTTAAACAGACTGAAGGTTTACTCTATTTGTAACTTTAGAATAATCTACTTTATTTTTTTTTGTAGATCCAAAATATTAATAAGAATGAAATATGTATAGAAAATCATGTACATGATATCATCTGCTTTGAGTAATAAATAAATCTGTCCTCTATATTTACTGAAGATAACTAGGAGTCAACTGTATCTTCATTCGTAAGTCAGTGTACAAGTTTCTTACATGTGTCATGGTGGACTTCTTGAAATATCTGTGTTTGTTTCACTATAACGTACCATATTCATGACATCATGTTCACGCATAGATCCAACTGTAATGTATAGTCTTATATATATGAAATTTAATACAATAAATTGTGTTCAGATATAACTTTAAATCCAGAAGATTGAAGATACATTATTATGGCACCAATGTACAGAGAAAAATAACCTAAAAAAAGTGGGGAAGTTTAAAAATTTCAGGACCCTTCATTAATTGACAGCAGTGACACTCACCTCCAAAGATTGCACGCTGACAAATTCTCCCTTATCCTCCCCAGGTAATAATCATTCACCATCTCACATAATTTGATATTACATAACTCCCATAATGCATATAGCATCATAAATCAACTGGCCCATGGCTAACTTATTTTGTTCTCAAGAACACTTTAATGATGGCAGCAATTCTTTAGCTCAGAATAACACGTGCCTTTACAAGGAACCAGATATGATTACAGTCTCTCCTATGTCTAGTGAGTACTGCTATATAATTAGCAGGTTAGCTGGCAGTACACCCAATAGTTATTACTCATGTCTAATGATGTATCACAAATGAGAAATTTGCAGTAAAAAATAATATCTGATGTGTCACACTTGTGATTAAATAGTTATAACGATGCCATGGTAATGTTGTTAAGGGATTCTCAACTCTATGGTTTGCCTTACGGACCGTGTTAAGGACTTTCCAGTGTAATGTAGTGGTTTGCCTACTGACTGTAAAACCATACCTATTATGTCCATTATGTCTGCCCTGACTAATGTCATGCCCCCCATCCCGCTGTATGTGTGTGTGTGTGTGTGTGGTTCTTCACGATTAACATTGACAAACGCGGAGGTTTCGGTATCTTTCATGTTGAATGAAACAAAATTATTGTGAATGGTGAATAGGATATGGCATGGGACTGCTGTCGCCTATTTCATCATTCTATCCCTGGAAGGACTTTCGAAAATCATGACAACCTCAGTCAGGAAAACTTCTGGATATTTTCCCCAATGTAGATGCTTTCTGTGGGTCAGAAACTAAACAAGATATAAGAATTGCACCAAGACCAAAGTTATTTCTTTTGGTGACAAGGTTGTGGGAACGAAGGCCACTGCCCCCCAAAAAAGTGTCCTGGTTTCGAGTCCCAGTGAAGATGGTTTCTGTAGCTCTGAAAATAAGCATGGCAGAACAATGGTCACAAGACCAAAGTTACTTGCTTCATGATGCAATTACAGGAACAAAGATTACAACTTCCCAAAAACTACCCAAGGTTCGAACCCCAGTGAAGATAATTAATCTAGACAAACCAAACATCTTAGGTAATTTTAACCCCAATGTATTTCATATGAGTTAACATTTGCTTCAGATAAAAACATCCATAAAACCTGATAATGATCTTGTACAACTGAACCATCTAACTCTGAAATATATAATACTTAGATCTTTTTACAATCGTGAAATATTATATCAGCCGAACCCGTTCATATTGGTTGTTAACGGAGAATTTCCGCTGCGCGAAAGTGTTCACCACAGGTTACTTGCAGAGAATTCCCAAGAACATTACTCGATGAAGTAATATTCTTTTGGCGATGGTTAAATAGATTTTGTTATTAGTAATATTCTAGACTTCATTATCTTACCTCTAGAAGTTGCAGCGTGTACGATAAATCTTGAAACAGGACTCAGAACACGACACAACATCTCCGCACTGCACATATCCGTAGCACTTCCTGTCAAACTTCCTTGCCCTTCGAGACGGCGGATCGACTGGCTTCCTTTTTTTATGTTGGTGGGACGTGCTTTACGGAATGTCTTTCTTTGAAACGAAAGGTTGATTTCTTGCCATCAGAATGAAAAGAGCGTAGCACACGGTGCTAATCAAACTGTGGACGATTCTGAGTCTTCAAGTACAGAAAGGTATTTCTTCCCCTCGTGGATACAGGGTTCTCCAGATTACAACGCTGTTTTGTATGGTAATTTATAGCATGCGCAAAAACAGATTTTCGTACCATTTTGTTTTTGTCTTGCGCATGTATGGGCATGCTTGCGTAACTCTGTCAACCAAATCAACACACCCGACGTACTGACTGTATTCGTGTTATAATGTCCGGTTTGAAATTCAGCGTGTTTGTATTTATGTCCTGTGGACCCGAGTCAACGATGTCTAACCTGTCACGGCAATTGGACAGAACAGAAACCAACGTCTGTCATTCCATCCGTAGATGGCGCACTTACATTTCTGCTCTTCAGGGCATTCTTATCTGCATCCTTCGGAAGACAAACGTAATTTTCTCGGACACTTCCAGAATCATTTTTGCCCCTCTTGTGGAATTAAGTGCAAAGTCTGGATGAAATGTACCAATCGTCGAGATACACAGTTCTGCCCTCATCCATTAATGGGTCAATAAGGTGCATCACTATACAACCAGAAAACCCTAGTTCATTCATGTAAGTCAAATGTTCTGATACCAAATCTGGCCCGTTTGGTCCCGTTCTGCTTGACTTTTCAAATCACAGGCCTCTCG